TTTTAACCTCACACGCTATACCTACATAAAAATGACAATGGAATCCCCATGACAATGAAAAACAGGCATGAGTCCATGTACAGAACCACTCAAATCCAATCAAAATTAGGGCTGGTCATTCAGATATTGTTATTGAATAGTAGATATGACAAATAAAACAATTATGTCTCATGCACAAACCTTTACATGTATTTTCCAGGAATGAGGAAGTGGAGCAGCTGACACAGGTTTGATCAGACCAAAGTTCACTTCAAGACTTATCAGCTCCGTGTGAATCGGCTGAAAGTAGAAAGGTCGACAGAATTAATGAAAAGCTATTATAATATGTGGCTAAATGTAAATTGATACATGGTGAATTTGGTCTGTTCCTTCCTGCACAACCATGGCAACAAAACTGGGATTGGATTTGATTTGGGGAAAACTATTAGAAAAGATGAGAAAAACAGATATCTAAACCAAGAAAAGATCAATCCAGGACCTTGTGTGTGTCAGAGTTGACAGTCTCAGTGCATGTGCATGAATGTTGCATATGAATCCTTCTTTCTACAAACAAACACACTTACACTGGACTTACCACAGACCACAGCTGCACACTCAGGCCTGCAGCACATGGAGACTCTATAAATAGCAGCTGAAGTCCTGGTCACTCCTCCAAGACAAGACTGAATACATAATGTGTGATAATCTGCCAAAACACCATTGTGAATAAAATGCCTAAACAAACAGAACAGATGAACTAGAAGATCAATAAAAGGTTTTGATTATACATTGAAGCTTAAGTAAAGGTAAAGGTGCACTTTATTGATCCCCGTAGGGCAATTCATCCTCTGCATTTGACCCAGCCTGATGCTGCTAAGGCTTACGTCAGGAGCAGTGGTGGCCATAGTACAGCGCCCGGGAACCCATTGTTACAGCCCTGGGCCTGTACATTTCTCCCTGTTTGGATTTTGTGTGTTTTATGTGTATGTGTGTGTGTGTGTGTAGCAAATCCTTCTGTTTGAGATCCCTGGCTGGTGATTGGACAACCACTGGCCTTCCTGCCTCCCAAACGTCCATGACTAAGGAGCTGATTGGAGGAGCAGCGGTGCACCTGGCCAATCCAGCTTCCCCACCTGGAGTCAGTCTCATACTTAAGGCCACACTGCTCACTGCACACCAGTTCGGGGCTGCCAGCCTGTGTGGCTGGTATGCCATTTTGGTCCTCATGGTTGAATGGCTGTCATTGTCACACGAGGTGGCAATGACTTAAAAGACATAGTCTGCATTGTTTTTATTTGTCACTTTGAGGTTTTGTTTTTGTGACACTTCGCTTTATTTGAGACAGCAGTCAGTTTAGTGTTTAGTTCTATGTGTAAAGAGTTTAGTGTAGGTTTTGGTAATGTTGAGTTACCCCCTTATGTCCTGTATTGTGTCCTTTTTATTTATGTCTCCTTATCATTTACATTCCTGTTATTAAATACTTGCTTTTCCATTGTTTGTTTTTTGTTACCTCCCTTACCCTAGCAGAGCTGGGTCGTAACACCCATCTCCAGATGTTGATGCTCGGCTTGGTCAGGACTACCAGAACTGGAGGATTTACCCAGTGTGCATGTTTTTAGTGGTAGGGGAAACTTACGCAAACACGGGGAGAACATGCAAACTCCACTCAGAAAGACCCCATTCCTACCGGAATTCAAACCCAAGACCTTCTTGCTGAGAGGCGAGAGTGCTATCCACTCAGCCACCATGCCAGTGTATATTCAGACTGGAAGACCAAAAAAGACGTCATGTGTGCCATACCGCCGGCCATACCGCCGGCCATACCAGAAGGTCCTGGGTTCGAATCCCGGTCGGACCAGGGCCTTTCTGAGTGGAGTTTGCATGTTCTCCCCGTGTCTGCGTAGGTTTCCTCCGGGTACTCCGGTTTCCCCTACCACTAAAAATATGTCCAATAGTTCTACCATGCGCCTCCTGTACTGGCGACCCCGCTCCCATCGCTGTGTGGAGTGAGAGACAAATTCCCAAAATTAACAATTGTAAACCGCTTTGAGACTCAGATCTGCAGTGAAAAGGCGGTATATAAATAAAGATTACTTACTTACTTACTTACTTCATGCCTGAGCCCAACAGCAATCAGCTTCAGCTGCACTGTAACACACCTGAGCTCAACAGAGCAGTTCTCACTTCTCTGCAGCTCAAGCTGCTGTTCGAGCAGCAACCCATCTCCTCCCCAATACCACCTTTTCAGTGGAATACCATGTCATCTCTTCACCATCAGGGTCTAGGCACCGGGGCAAGCTCATAATGTCTATTAACTCCCTTCTGCATATATCATGCAGTACTCCTGCCGGGGTCTATTAGCCAATCTTAATGAACATTTCATGTTCACATGCAGTAAATATATTAGTACTCCATCAATAAGTCTGCTGCTGTCTATTCATGCATCTTGACAATAATATTGTAATGCAATCTTTGTCTTGAGTCTTGCCAGATTGAATTGTAGATCTAGAACAGCAATAATGTTATGTAGCCATGCCACAAACACGGGCGCAGCACCAGTAGCTTTGGCCTTCAGATAAACAAAACATTTAAGTGGAAAATCACTGAGTCCTGCATCAGGTTATTAGAATGATGAGTTCAACTTTAACCATAGTTGCTTCAAAAGCATTATAAAAGATCCATATTAAAACTAAACCACCTTATTTTCAAGAGTCTTTGCCCTAATTGGTGAGCCTGCCCTCCTGGTGGTACTCAGAGTGAGACAAGAGGAGTCAGAATGCAGTCAAGACCTTTACTCCTGAAATGTGAGGCAAGACATTTTCAAATCCAGGAAAATAAACAGTTGACACGTGGATAAACTGAACTTGTTTCTTTTCTTGTTAAGCACTTTGCACTATTTATTGCTTATTTGTTCATTTCAATGCTATAAACTAGTGACTTTTGAAATGCAACCTATTATATGTTTGGCTCATCTCATCAAGCTGTGTAAAAGCATTAGTCTTGCCAGCCACCTGCTGCCATAGATATGTAAAACATGGCATTGGAAGCCGTGCACCCCTTGATTGTAAAGGTCAATTAAAGACACTAGCAACTGCACTCTGCTCCTCCCTTTGAGAATGCCCTAATGAGCCCCGCGTTAACCGCCTTTAGCCACACGCACAATGCACGATTGACTTGTCACTTAATTGAGTTCTTGTGGTCCACGCTCCATCCTGCTGCTTTCTTCTCACTTTGACGGGTTAAAATCCACGCACACATTACGCGGAGGAGAGAGGAGAGGAGTGGTGCTCAGTCAGTGTGTGGAAGGAGAACAGGACGCACAGATACAAGGTAAGACCCATTATTATAGCTGTAAAATTCAGTTTAATGCTAGTTTAAAGCTGGGGTACCTTACGTTTCACTATTCATATAGGCCAATGTTTTCCTTCCCATAAGTGGGTACACAGTGAGTGAAATAGATCAATAGTTGTGATATTAGACTGACATTCATATTCATGTTCTAATGACACTAATGATGTAACAAAGGCTTAATGACTGGATTAACATCTCCCTTTTGCTGTTTGGAGTTAGTTGTTAAGTTAGACCTAAAGATTGGGTTTTTAGTATTTTTTTCCTCATTTTTGATCAATTTAAGATTTTTATTTCACCCTTGATAGTTTTTATGTCTATATTGAACTATCCATGATGGTTTGGGAATGGCTTTATAGCAAAAGTGGTAATATTGTGGTAATGATTATTGGGAGGCGACCCCAGGGAAGTATAGGGACACGCTGGATGGACCCCCCTCGGATGTTTCTCCCGAATGAGCTGGAGGTGTGTGTGGAGAGGGAAGTCTGGGCATCTCTGGAAGGAAAAAGTTTGACTGTTTAGTTTGTCATTTCAGAAAGTACTGTTATTTTAAATAAGCCTAGAATGATTTACAAAAAGGAACACATTTCAAGTTTTTTCAAAGTTGAACTTTTGGTGTTCTACTTTTTGAGATCTACCAATTAATCAGATGGATAAAACACACAGATATAATACAGCTGTGACATGCTGGGTCAGGACAGCCTTTTCACTCCATTCTTTCTGTTTCCAGTGGGAGCCATGCATCCGTCCCTGTCCCTGAGCCTGGATGCAGCGCTGCAGGGAGGGGTCCCAGGGGGTCCCGATCTCTACACATTTGTGACGTCTGCTGCTGGTCACATGATGCGGACGCTCCAAAAACCACGCAAGAACCGTCCAACCAAACGCCAGGTCAACCACCGCCGCTTCCTCCACAACATGATCCAGAGGTGAGGGACGAAGGAGCAGACCTATCAATTGTGCTTTACAAATAAACTTGCCTTTCCTTCTTGCCTTCTAGAACACATTTGGCCAATAAAAAGCTACATTAAAAAAAGACTCAAACATACATCTAAGCCTTTAAACACTTAAAACTTCACCTCTTTTGCTGATCACATCTTTAGTTTTCTAATTTACTGATGATGGTTAAATGACATATACTGGTTTTACTGGTCTAGACCTTTCTGTATGGAGTTTGCATGTTTCTCTCTGTTTCTGGGTGGTTTTACTCCAGGCGCTCCAAAAATATGCACCATGAAGCGAACAATAAAGTGTACCATATGGCTTCATAATGATAATAATAATAATAATAATGCATCGGTTTTATATAGCGCTTTTTTGGACACTCAAAGACGCTTTACATGTCATTATTCTTTCACTCCAAACACGGTGGTGATAAACTACTACTGTAGCCACAGCTGCCCTGGGGCACACTGACAGAAGCGAGGCAACCATTATGTGCCATCGGCCCCTCCGACCACCACCAACCATTCACACACACCAGACTCATTCTAGGCAATGGGGGTGAAGTGTCTTGCCTAAGGACACAACGGCAGTTTGGCACTTTACAGCCGCAGCCGCCCCACTGTACACTGTATTTCTAAGTTGTTGCTTAGAAATGAGAGAATTTCTAAGCAACAACAATATTAATATTGTTTTTTATCAAATTAATTGGACCTCTGTATTTTATTATGTTCATGGTACTGATTTAGATATGGTTCTTTTTGAAAACCATATCAAAATAAAATCTGAACTCTGAACTGAACTCCACATATAGTTAAATTTCATGTACAAAAAGAGACAAAAATTCTCTGAACAGGTCGAAAATACTGTTTTTTTCTTAATAAATGTCAAAGTAGTTTCCATAAGTATGTATAACTATTGTAATGCTTATTATTGTTTTGAATTTTTCAATAATATTTTTTAAGACAATTTATAGAGACACAATATTCCTCATTCATAATGAAATATTTCTTGTTCTTCTCATAGGAAGTTTGCAGACATAGAAGCTGGAAACCATCGCCTGGCCTCTGCCTTGTACTTCAATGTGGACCAAAAGATGCCGGACTCCCCGGAACCAGCCCCAGACGCTTTAGAGAAGGAACAAGACCTCACTGACTCACTCAACTCTCCGATGGAAAAGAAAATGCATCAACCAACATCAAAACCTAAAAGTAGAAAAAGGAAATTGAGCACGGCAGATCAAAACATGTTTGAAATGTTCCCAACAGACCCTGCTTGTACACAGACGGCGCAATTCTACAGATACGACAATAAAAGCGATTGGTTTTCAACGGATGAGCAAATCGGTCTGATAGAGTCCAACCTTCCATTTGAACAAAACACAGACATTTCTCCCTGCTTCTTCCCAGAGCTCTCCCCATTGCCACTAGATTCTTTTGACTTTTCGGTTCAGATGTTCACGGATGCCTCCTCTTCGTCCCTAAATAATTCAGAAATGGTGGAAAGTCAATGGACTGATGTAATCGACGTGTTTGGTAGAGACTTGACAGACACCGATTCAAATTTAGATGGTCTTTGTGAAGCAGAGGGCTGTGATTTTGAGCAAGAGGATTTTTTCAACAAGATGTGGCAAAGTAGGTTTAGTAGCACAAACTCCTTCATCACGAGCTGCTATCAAAACACAGTGGAGACGGACAATGTTCCTATGTCACTAGAACTCCAAAATGAGCAGATATTTCCCATCAGCTGTCAATCATATCAAGATCCACCCTATCTGGGGGCATGTTCCAACCCCATCCCGTTTGAAGGGGTCGCTCAGTCTTTTCCCGTTTCCCAAAATGCCCCGCGGTTTTCCATCCCGACTCCTCCGTATGAAGGCGACTGGCTGTTCACAGACATTCTCACAGAAAACATGGCATTTTGTAATCGACACACTTAAATATGGATCGTGTGTGACTGTGTGAGCGAATGAAGGTTGTTTTTTTTTTTTTAATCTCTGTGTTAGTGGTTGTGCAGTATTTATATTTTGTCTTTTCTTGCTTGGTCTTTTGACAGTGGGTGAGAAGTTTACGCTCATCGGACAGATTATGAAAGAATCCGGTCAATGGAGGGCCCTCTTCCATGAGTGTTTGAGTATATTTATACCATTATTTATAATACTGTTAAGTAATAAGAACGCATTTCAGACAAATATACCGTAAGATAGTAAGTATATTTTCCTGTAGGATCAACACGAGGTCCAGGGTTCGACTCCATTCAGAAAGAGCCTTTCTGAATTGAGTTTGGATGATCTCTTGCATCTATAGTGGACGGCATGGTGGCTGAGTGGATAGCACTCTCGCATCTCAGCAAGAAGGTCCTGGGATCGAATCCCGGTCGGAACAGGGCCTTTCTGAGTGGAGTTTGAATGTTCTCCCGTGTCTGTTAAAAGTTTTCCCAATCATGTTGCTTCAATACTTTATTGTTTTTATTTATTTGTGATTTTGGATCACTGCCCCCAGCAAACAACCCTTACACACATTCACTTAACCAAAAACAACAAAGGTTCAAATCACAAATTTAAAGAACCGCAACACTCATGTGTCCATTTCTGCAACCCCCAACGTCATAAAGGATCATTATCATATCATATTATTATCATGTTGTGTTAAGGTATGTGTCTTTAGCCCATACAGACTGCCTTTAGGGAGTGAACATATTTGAAAGTGTTTCCAATGATATGTGGGGACAAGATACATCTTTCCTGCTCATGTTTTACATTCTACAACTAGAGTAATATCACACACACTTATCATGTAAAAGTATGAAACAGTTCATCCCCTCTTCTCCAGTGTCCTGTTTTGTCCTGAGTGTCAGATTTGCACCTCTGCTCTGGCTCTTTTGTCTTTGTGGTCAAACATGTGTTTTCCATTTGTCACGTCCACTCCACACCTAAGTATTACGGCGCTCTGTTCCCTAGCACAACTCTCATAAACAAATATTTTAATATCACTCTAATGCGAGCTATCATTTATCAGAGTGCCGTTGTGAGTCACATTAGTTGTGATCTCACATGAACAGCTGTGAGACACCTGTAACTGTATGACTGCAGGCCTTTGCACATGACAGCTTTTATGATTAATGTAGACATTATTCAGTGGTGGGATTTTATCTGTTGTAAGTATAGCACTTTGAACCTTGACAAATCAGCTTTTTCCAAAGGGTAAAAGTACACAATTAACTCAAGTTTTCTTGGCAAAAAACCTTGACATTGAAAAAAATATAAAATATGTTGGAACATTCCAAACAAAGCTGTCTACATCAGAACATCAGACAAGCAGGGAATGAATATTCTGTCATCAGTATTGTGATAATTCTTCATTATTAGTTGGAATTGTTTGAATTGTTCTATTTGAATTGTTCAAACCAATATTGGAAAAATTGGCAAATATATTGGTCAGAAATAGATAAATAAACAAATATTGTTTGTTAATTTCCTCTTTGCCTTATTGCGATTACAAAATGTATATTTTGTGACACTACTTGCATGTGAAAGTATAGTTTAGAAACTAAGCAGGGCAGACCTACGCGACTGGAGACCTCTGGGAACGCCAAAAACATAGTTAAGTTTGAGGTAGCTTTTTTAAAATTTGTTCTCTGCATTTGACCCAGAAAACCTACACAGACACAGGAGAACATACGAACTCACCGCAGAAAGACCCTGTTCCAGCAGGATTTGAACCCAGGACCTTCTTGCAGTGAAGCAAGTGTGCTTCCACTCTGTCACTGTGTCACTGAGTAAAGGTGGTGGTATTGGTCAGAATGACTACATTTAATTGGTTCACAAATATAGATTGAACGTCTTAACTAAATAGTTTTTAGAATGTAGATAATTTGAACGTGAGCACTCTTCTTGAGCAGAAGGAATCAAAGATAGGAAGATTGTGGGGTCAGAGATGGTCCAGAGAAACCAGTGGACAGGTCATGCACTGCAGAGAGCCGGTGGGAGGTGATGATGTGCACACAGTGTAAATGATGGCTCTGGCTGCTATTTATAAACACATCTAGAGTGGCCCTTAGCGAGGGTTAGCACAGCCCCAGTGACAGGGACACATGGGCCCACTGCACATTAGCAGCTCGCTACCGAGTGGGACCTCCTCCAGACTTGTAACATCGCACATACTTTGCTCAAGCTGAGACTTGAATGTCTGAACATGTCAGCTGAAATGTAGTATGTTAGACATTTGTCTCAGTATTCTTTCTTCCACTGTAAGTTAACTGACAAAATGTTGCGGCTTTAACACACTGTGCAATTGTGGTTTGGTCGGTCAACTCAATTGAAATCCTTTTTTGTCAGTCTGATTATATTAACTTGATCATAATTGAGATGTGCTACGGTTGGATTTAAGACGCCATCGACATGAAGAGAGCACATACGTTTAATAAGTAAATTATAAAAGAAACACCAGAAACAAAGCAATAGAAAGCATAGCAGTTCCAAAATGTTTGTATTATGCTACACAAATAAACTTCCCTTGCCTCCTATCAAGAAGCAGTTTTGAACTCATTTAACTAAAGGGTAGTTTCTCATTAGAGTTTGATCGCCCTGCCACATGTTCTATTATCTGTAGTCTCAGCACATCCATCCATCAAAGCCAGTTACAGCCTCTTTTGATTGACCGGCCGATCCAAGTGCTGTTCTACGTGTTGAAGTGAATGCCATGAGGCTGTATTTAAGGGATCAGGCACGAGATCGAGATGAAGTCAAACTCATCCAGCACTGGATGAATTGTCCGACCCTTTTTTAGATCGGCTTCCTCTGAAGTGCACCACCTGTTGCAGCGCGGAATTTCCCATCGAGTTTGGGTGGTACTTTTGGGTTTCTCAACATGTGCTTCACCTTGTCTCCATGGAGATGTTATTGATTTTCATGGAATGCTCAATCATGGCATTCAACAAATCTATTTGAGACAAGCTCCTAATAATGGGTTAGATCCGTTTTTCCTGACATTTTCAGGGACATTTGCAACCGTTGGGTTTCATCATATTCCGTTTGTGGTTCCACTTATAATGGGAGGTGTATGGGTGCCATTAGAGCCCTAAACTACAGTTCTCATCTTCACAAAGAGTCTAATCTTTTTTTAAAGGACAACTAAACCTAAGCTGACACTATCTGAAATGTGCCATTTCCAAAACTTGGGTTTATTCTAATGTCAGATTGTCATGTTAAAGAATGAAGTAATAGTACCTCATCAAAGTGTATGGGGCAGCTGCAGCTTTATGCGGCCATGCAAACTTCACAACCAGGAAAACTTTAGAAAAGTGCCTCTTTCACATAAACACTGTGTAGTCACTTTACTCTGACGTAACCTGAATTACTTTTATTACATTTCTGAAAGCAGAATAGAATACAGAGGGTAATTTTAAAATTAGAGGTGCAATTAGAGGTATAATAGCATCTCCATAGAGAAGTGGATGCTTTATGGGCTTATGGGAGAAATCCAGGATATATCAAAATAGTTTTATAATTGAAGTGCTGCCGTGCATGGCCTTTGTGGATGCACTGAGTTGCATTGGGGCCATACTGTGGTTGGAGTGGATCTTGCAGTGCCAGCAGCGAGAGTGAAATCAAATCTGTTTTGACACCATAGACTTTTAGTGGCTCTCCAATCCGCCCATAACCACTCACTATAACTGTATTCTGTGGCATGGATAACATTTTGATAAAGGGTGTTAGGTTTACACCACCTTTCGACAAATTTAATAGTTGCTTCACACTATAAATATTTACAGCAGGTCTAAATCACATGCACACATACATAGAAATATGTACAGTTATAAACAAGACTTGTAACATATAAAAACATGTATATGAATACAGCAGCACCTTAGTGGACAGTAGTGTCTAGCTTATGCACCAATGATAGACGGTTTACAGAACATTCAAGTCATCACAATTATTCATAAACGTTTAGGTTAGATTTTAATGCTGACGAGATCTGCTGAATGGCATTTCTGGTTGGATTCAACAGGTAAAATAATAAGTAAAATAATCAACGATTGTAACGATATTTGCGCTGTTACAAAAAATGTTTCAACCATAAACAACTCTTCACCCATAAAGTTATACAAAAACATTGTGAGATAAGAAACAGAACATAAGAAAATATGAACACAAAATAATAATCTTCAAAGTTTCAAAGTCAGAACAAATATGAATTTGTTAGTTGAAACTCAAAGTAAGAATTGTATCAAAATGTCTCAAATTAGCAAGCACTAAATCTTACCGAGACAAAACAACTCACATTGAGTTAAATGTACACTTCCTTTTAAAAGTTTGGGGTCACTAACAAATATCTGGATAACTAAATTAATAGGAAAATAAGTTGAAACATTGTTTATGTGGTAAATTACTATTCTAGCACGGAAAGTGCGAGACGGATAACGGATAGGCTCATTTCCAATAACTGTCACTCCAGTGTTCAATGCAATATTGTGTGTAATTGTTGATGTTAGCAGTGAAACAATATTATCCATTCTTTATAATAGTCCGTAGTGCTTAGAGCACATTTATCTTTCACCCTTTCCCTCCCTGAGCAGCTCATCCGTCAAACCCCCAGTCTCTCGCATCTTTTGGGCCTCTTTCTGAGCCTCCTCTACCTTCCTCCTCTGCTCCCTCTCACTGTCCATGAGCCAGGGGCCGCCCAGGTAGCTGAGGATCTCCTCTGGGCTACCACGCTGCTTGGGCTCTGGGTTCAGCAGCTCTTTAAACAGGGCTATGGCCAGGGGGCTGATGCCGTGGAACTGCGAAGGGGGTGGGTTATCCATGTAATGCTCCTCCATGATTGTGTAGCAGTCTGTCTTGTCGTGACATCGCTCTCGCTCAGTCTCAAACCAGTCATTGTATTTTCTATACCTGCGGTCATCGTGCGTGCTTTCCTCCCAGGGGAAGCAGCCGGTTAGCAGGCAGTAAGTTAGCACGCCCAAAGCCCAACTATCAATACTGGGTTGGACTGTGATCCAAAGGTCCTCCATCTCCTCCTCTGTGCCCTGTTCTTGCCTTCTCTCCCACTCCTTGTCTGCCTCTTTGGCTGGCTCGACCTCTGGAGTGCAAAAGGGTGATTCGTACCACACAGCACGCACAGTGGATCCTACGGCCCGTGCCAGGCCGAAGTCGCCCAGTTTTACCCAGCGGCAGGAACTGTCGCACAGGAAGATGTTCTCTGGTTTGATGTCGCGGTGAACGAAGCCCAACGAGTGTAGGTGAGTGACGGCTCCGCTCAGCTGGGCCATGACTCTCTGGATACGTTCTTCTTCCATCCCTACCTATAAAACACAACCCTTACATGAAACGGTCTGCCATACAAGTAGTACGAGTTTGTTCAGGGCAATTATTATGATGCAATTAAATCAGAATTACAATTAACATTTGTAGTGGAAAATTAAACTTAACACAGAGACACTGGCGCCATTCCACTGATAAAAAACCAGGTGTGTGGAGGAGGCTCATAAATTAGATAACTTGCATCCTTCCTCTCCCTACTTTCACCCTTCCCAAGTCTGGGAAAAGCTGGAGACTCGGGCTTGGTTCGAGGCAAAAGAGTTTGGCTGAGCTCTTCTCAACAACTTGGATTCACTTTATGCAATTATCATGTCTGTATTTCATTACTTTATTAAAAACCTCTTAACACCCGCCTCATTTTGGCTTGTGCACAAAAGTTTGGCATACCCAAATGTCTTTGCTTATTTAAAAACACATCTTACATCTCACATGCTTGTGTGATGCATCATTTTAAAGCTAGAGCCTTCTAGTTTATGTAAAAAAACACTAACGCTGGAGTAACATGCGACTGCACCAAACTACTGCCCCCACAGATCACTAAAAACATACATATGAAGTTGTCACTGACCCTCTTGTAGCTTGCGCCGAGGAGATGGCCGCACTTCCGCTTCCGCTCTCCCAGCAGCACTGGAAAGACCGCACCCCCCTGCACTTGTTTTGCTCCTGGGATCAAGACGTGCCGCTTGTATTTGATTATAAAAAAGATAATTGGTGTTATAATGGCATGAAGAATCACGCAAACGTATGCAGGGACCATAGACTATGTAGTGACAGAATTTGTGGACTAAAATGATCAAAAGATGACAGAAGAACGCAAACAATGGTAAACTTATCAGACTTATGACTCCAACTTATTCTCCAAAACGCCTGAAAAGCTGATACCCTGTACTGTAATGTTAGGCTCTGATGACTCATTGATTTCAATTAAAAGTGGGAATAATTTTCCAAAACAAAGATCAAACGTCCGCCGACATTTTCTTTGGTAGATTCAGGCCCAGTCCCAATACCCACACTGCACCCTACACACCTCTATGAAGTGTGCATTTGTCTGAAGTGCACACCAGGGTTGGAGTCATGGATGTATTATATTGGTTTGAGTGCGCAGGTTACAAGTGTGCAAAAAAGGCAGAATTGGGACAGTGCACACTGAGTGCAGGTTACGTCATCGACTCGTCCAGAGATGGTCATTTTCAGACCTAAACTTTATAAACATTAAAGGTAATTTTGTCTGACCCTTTGGGAAACAAATTGAATTGCTTCTCACACGTTAAAATACATGTATATTAGTTGTTTTTAATTAGAGATAGCTGTATGATTTTAAGTTAAATGTGGGTAACTAACTATCTGGTCAATTTTTATACATTCTAAGATTATTGTACTAGCTAAGTGTAAAGTTTAAATTGAATGTTATATAAACGCTTGCTTTAAAATGTATTAAATTGTTAAAACACAATGTCCGTAATTCTTCATCAGACGTGTATGCTTCTTTCCAAGTAACAGCAAAACTTATTTACACACATACTGTATATATTTTTCAAAATTTGCATTTTCCCGTCGTTTTGGTGTGTGTACCGCAAAGAACTATGGGCAATATCCTTCGCCAGAGTGCGCATAGATGCAGGCTACGGCGAAGTGTGGATCAGGGGCGCAAAGGGGGCGTGGCCAAAGACCTCCCTGGAGAATTGGGACACCCTACGCACTCGCACCCTTTATCGGGAACGCGCAAATGAGGGGCGCGAGGGTGGAAGTGCGAGTATTGGGACGGGGCCTGTATACAAGTGTGTAGCTGGTGTTTGGAGGTTGGGTCTAAGTTATTGGGAGAACTGTTTCTACAGCGGAGGGAAATGCTATTGAGAAGTAAAGGACTGAAGCAGAAAGAGCCAGATGAATTCATGCAAAATTTCCAGCATCTGAGTCAGGGCCAGATTAACACTTTGTAGTACCCTGGGCAACAATATTCAAGGGCCCCATCATCACGACCCCAGGATCACCATAATATGGTCATATATAGGATATATTACTGTAATATACAGTAAATATACTCAATACTTCAAATCCTAACTGTCATTAGGTGTATTTTCATTTACAAATATTTAAAGCTCATAGAACTACGAATGCACTACTATGTCCCCTATCAAAGACATTCACTCACATATGATGCTATGAAAACAAAACACATCAGCATCTGTATAATCTGGTAACATTGACCCACTACATTGAGAGGGAAGGAAGTATCCTCCATTTTCACAAAAAATGAATAGATAAGCAACCACTTTTAAACCATTGTTTATTTAACAACACTTATTCCCAATAGAAATGTATGGAATAGATAGAGCTATCACAGAAGACCACAGACAACAGATCAAGCAACATTTTGGTCCTCTGCTCATTGAACTTGTTTTAAAATATAACAACATGCTATAGCACAATTAACCAGTCAAACATTTTAGTGCTACATAAATACACTACACAATACTAAATACACAATACAATTTATCTGAAGAAGACGAGATAAAATAAATGGTATATAATCTGGCAAAACACACAATTTTAATCCTAAATAATGAGGAAGTGCATGTTTGCTTTCATTTGGCATCTTATACTGGCTTTTTTCTGGACTTTGACTGTGCAAACTGATGTATGACCTCTTCGAAATCAAGGCCACTAACAAGTTCATGTTCAATGGCTAAGAGAGAAAGTGCAGAGAGCCGTGTCTGAGACATTGTGGTCCTCAGCTCATTTTTAACTCGTTTCAAAACAGAAAATGACCTCTCACCCTCAGTTAGATACAGGTAAGGTTAAAAACAGTCTTAGTGCAACATAAACATTCGGAAATGTTGTCTTAAGTCCATGTCTGTCAAGAGCTTGCAGCTGCTGTACAGGTGAAGTTTCATACTGCACAAAGTGCTTGAACTGAATAAGTTCATCTGACAAGGAACTATCCAGATCTGTTGGATAAGTGGAGCTCAGTTTAGCAGCTCTTACACGCACATCACAATCGTCACAGTCCCTCTCAAACAAAACCCCAAAGAGGTCACACACATGTGAAAGAAAAAAAAAACGATGTCCAGAATCACTGTAAAACCTGCTGCTCCTCCTGCTGATGTTTAGACACAAGTCCTGTGTGTGTGCAGATGTGATCTAAAGCCAAGGGCCGCTAGAAAAATCATGTTTTACATGAGATTTTAATGGGAGACGCGTTGGTGCGCGCACAAAATTAGAAATCTGCTGCGCTCTAATTTAGGATGGATTTCTAATTTTGTGCGCGCACCAACGCGTCTCCCATTAAAATCTCATGTAAAACATGATTTTTCTAGCGGCCCTTGGCTTTAGATCACATCTGCACACACACAGGACTTGTGTCTAAACATCAGCAGGAGGAGCAGCAGGTTTTACAGTGATTCTGGACATCGTTTTTTTTTTCTTTTATAAAGTCTCGCGTCTGGCCAAACCAGCGCACAGAGACCATGAAGACAAACACATGCATGTGATTTGTGTTGCTCTACATCAGTCCTCTGGCCCGTACTGTCCTCTACACTGCTCCATAGACTACACAGGGAGAGCATCAGAAGACGCGGACCTGCGCGCACGGCCTGTGTAGATACTCCAAAAAAATGTTACGCGCAGAGCGCGCAGTAAACGCGTACGTGCTGTTTACGCCTACTGTGTAAATTCCCCGTAACAGTATTTTGCTCGTGCCCTTGCTGTCTGGGCCCTTTAGATGGGCCGCCCATGACGGCCCTCCGTGGGCCCTGGGCCCAGACAGCAAGGCCCTTTAGATGGGCCGCCCACGGAGGGCCCCTGGGCAATTGCCCAGTTGCCCGTATATCCGGGCTTGATCTGAGTATATTTTCTTTGAGAGTTTGGAGTTCAAACGGGGATGCATCTCGTCTTTATTTTGATCCTTCACGTGGTCTATTTTATCAATTCACTGACAAGAAAGAATACATTGAAAAATGAAGTCCAGTTGGTCCATCCTCGGCGTAATTGATGCTTGAGATGCGAAATGCATAGTGTACCATTCCAGATAGCGTCCCCATAAGGGATCATTAAATAAAATAAATCTATGACAAACTTTCTGGAGGTGAAAAATCACATCCATTATTCCATGGGAATAAAGTTATTATAAGCTTTACTATGGAGCTTTCTCTGTTGAAATATGGTCGTTGTATTTGAAGAGAAAAGGCTAAAAGTTACTTACTGTGACTTCAGTGCAATTTCACAAGTAATTTGAAAAATGTATATAATGCATTTGATTAGATTCACCAAACAATTTAAAATATAACAATCCATCATTCTCCCCTTTTTCTTTTTAGGCAACTATTTCTATCAATTCAATAAAGACAGGATCAAAACCACCTACATAACAGATTATGTGATACTGTAATCTGAGGTAATGCAATTTCTTTTTATCAAAACCCGACACCCTTGAAGTCTTCTTATATAATCAGTAGTAGTAAGTAATAATGTTTTACGTAACAGTAAAGTTACATTAAATATATTGTCTATTCACAGCTATCTCACTGCTGTCTTATTTTCTCCACAGAGAGGCGCCCTTTCCCTGGGCTGAAGTCATCCCAGTGCAGTCCAGCTCAGGGTAAGCCCCTCTGCTCAGGACAGAGTAACAGCTGGTGTGCATGTATGTGTGTGCTTGTATGTGCGTGCATGTGTGTGTGTGTGTGTGCATTCTCCTTAAGTTCATCCTTTTATCTCAGTCTTCTCCAGTGGGAACAGACTCTGCAAATATCATAACAAAGACTTTGTCACGCTGCTTTGGAAATTCTAATCTCTGTAAAGCAGGTGATTAAACAACCACATGTCACAGTTAATCTTCATACGGTATATGCTCATTGTTTTGACTGAAATCATTGCAGCCATTGAGTGGAGCAGACAAACATACAAATGTAAAAGTTGTACTGGTATGTTATCATTTAAACCCAGTGGTGTGCAAAACTGTGTTTTTTTGATCCAATGTGTA